CTATTTGTTACTGACCGATGGATACTATGATCACAATCAATTCTGTAACTAGATTTCGTCTTTTTCCGATTCTGCTACAGATACGCTCGTATCACAAAAGGCACTACCTGAATATCATATATAATTCATATCAAGCGAATCATCAAGGACATCATCTACTATTACTTTCAGTTTGTTTCTGTACAACATATCGTTACTTCACTAGGACGGGACTTGAGGCTTAAAGAAGGTAGAGGTGAGAAAAAAGGTCTGTGGCCCATGCGCGGGATCTTCGTGATGTCCGGTATGCCTCTACTTTCATTTGATTCATTCATTCCATAATGTGGGGGAAAAAGTCGAAGTTGCTGCCATGACCAATTCCTTCTACTCACACTTACATCAATCTAACTCAAAAACACAGAAGCGGGCTGTGAGTTGCTCGCGCCGTTATTTTGTAAATGGGGTCCCTCGCTTTGGTGACATCTGTCGTCGACGTTAAAATTATAATCTTAGCTCACAGCAAAACGTAAGTTTTCAAGTGAACACTATATTTTATACATTTTTTTTTAATTGTAGATTTTTAACATCAGTGTCATTTTGGCCTTACATAAGGTCATTTTTTTCACTTTAAATTATTTTTTAAACAAAATTATACGGGTTATTGTCAACTCATTTGATATCAATATAAAACTCATTAAAGTTATTTTGAAAATATTTTCACGAATACATTTTTAGTTACGATATCGTTCTAGTAATGTTATTGAGTATTCATAAAAATGTATTATTGTAAGTATTTAAGGTTTCATTTTAATTAAAGACTTTGGTGTGTAGTTCAAGTAATGAAAGCATTTTCTCTTGGTCAAATTAAAATATTATCTGACCCTGTCAAATATGTACATATATATCTTGTGACAAAATGTATATGAAAACAAATTATCTATTTTTCTTAGGTGTCACTTAAAACCCAAATATCGTATATACCCCATTTAACCCTAATCACCCTACATGAGGCAAGCCGGCAAAAAGGAACGTTCCTCAGACACACCCTCAACCTGTAAATTGGCCGGATATAAAAAGACAGGGGGATGCATATTAGTGAAAAATCGAATTCGCCTAATTGGTGGCGTGAAGCGTCGGTAAAGCCGGTTCGCACTCAGGTGAACGCGCCATTAGGGCATATTTTAGGTAATTAGACGGGACCGTTTTCAGAACCAATTACCTAGAAACAGTGAAGGGAACATCCATCTGACCGGCCAATGTGAGTCTTTCAGGCGCATTGTTGCCGATTTTCACTGGCGTTTCTCATATTTTATCCACTCGATCTGAACCGCGGATATCTTTCACATAACAGGTACTAATTTTCATTAGATCATTTGCTTTTACCATGAAGCACATAAAGCTTCATGGATTTCGATAAAAATTAGGTTTAAGTTCCAGCGTGATATGGAATTATTACAATTATTTATAGAGGTTTACAAATGGTGGAAAAACATATTTCTCAGTAGTAGTATTTAACAAAATGGGTTTAATCATAATGTCTCGATTTTTTCAATATATTCAAATTTCTATAAAACGCAAAGTACCCATTTCTTTCAAAATGCATACCTCAAGATTTTTTAGCTCTGCGCCTGACTATATAAAATAGGTTGTAAAACGATAATATTACTTTCTGGCGGTGGTTTATAACAAACAAATTGACGAGGCTTTTCGGCATTATCAAACTTATCAATGCATTTGGTAAGAATGATTAGTGAACAGCGATACAGATTTCAAGTGTAATGTATACAGAAATCAGCAAACATATATAAGTTTTTTCGAGTTGACAGTCTGGGTACGGCTTTATCGGAAGTTATTGGTTCATTCATGTTTTAATTTTTTACCATAAATTGAGTATTTACAAAGAAGTTTTTTATTGTAGCGATATTTTTTTAAAGGACATAACCGATAAACCTGGAGCAATTGTTCCTCATCTAATATTTTGTTTTTGTTTGGGCTCAATTTCAAAACGGTCATAAATTATGCTGGCAGAGTAGAAAAAAGAATATTTTTGACTATGAAAAATTACTATCTAGCTCAAAGGGTGGGACCGAAATCTAGTACATTCGCAGACATACACACTTGTTTCAGTGGAAAATTCCATGATATCTTCAACACATTTATATTTATTAGCTAGAGACAGGGTTTTCACGTTTAAATCCGGATTTTTCTCATTGCTGTTTGAAACTGTTCGCATTGTAATTATTACCAGTGATGCAAGTGTGAAAATATTTGAAATTCTAGTACTGTTAAAGGTACGCAAACATTAAAATTCAGGCTCTTGTTGAAATGTGTGGGGCATCGTAAACAGTCGCTATCTCTTTACCTACTACATATGTAGTTGTCGGCTTTTCAGAGAGATGCAAAATGCCAGTTGATTCATGCATATGCACCGGATGCAATAAACAAATTCGGCAACCACGCCCCGAAATTGGCAAGGAGTCAAAGAACCGACCTAAACCGGTCTGGTATGATTGGGGGGAAAACTCCGCCAAGAATTCGCATCGGCCTCCCGGCCCGTCGTCGAAAGGCCTAAGCCCGAATGCATTTCTCCGATTCGGTACCACCATCGTTAAAATAGCTTGCAAAAAATGCGATGAGGATGCGCCAGATGAGAAAATGACGAATATTTTCTCGTCGGGAACTGACAAAAAAGTTTCTGAACGCGTCATTAAAATTGCGAAAGGGGTCGAAAACATGACATCGTCGAGGAACAGTAATTGATTATTTTCAATTGAGAGCTGAAGTCTCGGGGTTATAAGACGATGGAATGTAAGTTGAAGCCAGTTGAGCGCTATATAAAAAGGGTGGAAGAGCTCACGATGGCGAAAAAGGGCGTTAATTATTAAATATCAAGAAAGCTGGGAGACATGGAGCCTGGACTAGAATGTTAATTCCAGATATAAAGTCTGAGTTGACGAGGAAACAGCATTAATAGTTTACTAGATCAATTCCTTACGAGACAAGAGCTAGCCTGAAGTGGGCAGAAAACTGCGTGTGTTTTATTGATGAAGATGATAGACACTCTTAAACACCTAATTGAATATAACATGTGGACACTAGATTGCCGAGATTGCTATTTCTTTATCACTTAGAAAATATACAAGCACCTTGTATCAACGTTCATTCAAAATTTCTAAGTAGCAGCAGTTACCTTGAAAATGTCATTATTATAGTAATTACAACATCAGCAGAACAACAGACAAATAGTTCTTTCTAATAAAAACAGCTGATCTCACGCATTCCTGTGTTCAGCATAAATGAAATTCCAAGCCAAAGAAGTAGTCGCATATTTGACATGAAAGTTCTGAGACACGATTATTCTAATGGATTAAGAGTTAATTGCTTTATTATTAGCAGCTTAATGACTTTACGAAAACATCAGTTAATGTGTATAAGTGAAAAACATCAGTTAAAGTGTATAAGTGAAAACATATGTTGTATTGATTTAATAATGTAATAAATACAAAAGGAATAACACAAAATAAGCTCTTCTGAGGTGTGAGAAACATATCAACTTTGAAAATAAATACTCACATTCTGTGTAATAAATGAAGCTCTATTTTAGTTCATTTTGGAGACACATTGCAATATTTCAAAAAATCCACATCCAGAGAAAGTTGACGTAAAAATAACCGAACAAATATAGAACGGAAAATCCAAAGTACAACCCGAATAAGGTGCGTGTAAGTTTAAAAATATTGGCAAAATATTGGCTAGAATTAAGCACATCATATGAAATGTAAAAGGACAATTATATCAAACTACAAAAAGTTTTTGGTAAGTTGGGAGTACGTATAAGTACTTCCCTATAACACAAATCCTAGTAAAAAATTGAATTAGCGTTTTATATGAAAATAATAATATCATCAGACTGACCTACATGCTCAATAAAAATGGTGTATAGTATAGAGATTAGAAAAGCGTAACATCCACTGAAGGCAAGATACTTTCGAATATTAATATTAGCGGGGATACTCTGTACTGTAGTACTAGCATATAATAGATATACGCCAGACGATCGATAAGTATTTTCGCCATGTCGATACGACGCAAAAATAATTGTATGCAGATATAATTTAGGAAGGGAAATTTTCCGGTCTATATATCACAAGCGGATACCACAACAAACATTCCATAATATCTTTGGAATATCTAATTTTAAGTAAACAGAGAGAAGAAAGAAAAAATGGAACGCCGCCGTTGCATTCGCTTGCACTGATTACGCCAGATTCCGCATTCTCGTTGGTTTCTTCACCGGCGCGTGGCGATTTCTTGTCAGTGCAGCTGCACCCTTATAAAGTTATGAAGAATCCAAAATTGCATACTTATTTATCTATACGCATATCCAAGTGAATTAAACGGCACAGGAATTACCTCAAATCGCAACGTTGATGAAACTTGGAGTATACGTCAACTTGGCAGTCTTAAAAATTCCTAAAGATCTTTAAAAAGGCAACCCAGTTTAATCTCAACAAGCGGAAAATGAGCAATTTATTATCAAAGAACGTTCTTTTTTTAATGGGAAGAATGCCTTATAGCTATTTTTATGCTTTTTACGGTTGCGTCACAATGTCATATGAAATAAGTAAATGGACTGACAACTGTACCATGTGCGGAACTTAATTTCACTAAGCAAAAATACCCTCTGCGCAAGCTGATCCTTAACGCAGCTGCTCTTGCATAGACACAAAAATAGGCTGATAAAGAACCGTTATTTTAGTGCACTTTCTGAAAATATTCCATAAATTAACACAGACTACCGACATTATAGTTGCATCCTTAGACGTTTCTATGTTTTATACTGAAGATCAACAAAAAGTTAAACTCAAATCGTACGCCCATGACAAGCTAGTTGTCAGAATGACAGTGACATGCATAAATGTGAAAGAGTCATCATAAGTTGACAAGTGAATATTCAAGGCGGCGGTATCTTCAGACGTTTCTGTGTTTTATATTGCAGCTAGCTATCATACTAACGTGACAATTTTCAAGGCAGTGAGACAAAATTAAAAAACGTATTTATGCGAGTTTACATAAACAAATATCCGTAATATGGGTGGATGTGGAAGATGGGTGTGTGAAAGATATTTTTGTAGTTTTACTGAGAGCCGCCGAAAATCGTGAAAAGGCCTATACACTTATATTAACTCCTTATGCAAGTACCTGCTGTTTGGTTCAATAATTATTACATGAAATCATATTTATGCTGTTATGTATTCTTTGGCACTGATAATTTGCTCATATCTGATAAAAACCTCTTTCGATCCACGCTCCAAAAAATATGCTGCTTTCAAGCAAAAGATTATTTATTTCCTGTTACAGGAGTACTATCATCCTTGCTGCCCACACTCGTATCTTACGTGGCACTGAGCCCTTGCCCTAGATGCGGCACTGTTCGCCCATTTTGGCGCCAAAACTACGTCTACTACAGACTGCAGCATCATCACCACTACCTTACGCGATGAGGCAACGTCGCTGCAAGACAGACGCGTCAAGGCGCAGCGTCAGTATGGTTGAATGGCCAACTTTGGTTTCCCGCCAAATGGCAGCAGCGGCTTACTACGATCTGCATGCATCCTGCATTGGCGGCACAGCGGGCGTCGGTCGCAAGCGGCTGCTGCGCAGAGTGAAACGCTCCCTTCGGCAGTCTGATGCATTATTATAGAATTTTACACAGCGGCCTGGTTGCATCACGTTATATATTATGCGCGACGCCCGACATCATAGTAGACCCACACTCTGACGATGATACAGATTATCAGAATGCCAGAGTTTAAAAGGTCCACCATAAAAGTTCTTTAATCTATCATTTAATATTCGACACATTCATTAAGTTAATATTGATAAAATACAACTATTCCTAAATGAGGCAGCACTCTTTTTTTAACTGAAAAAATACTAAGGAAGGGGTTTCTGAAATAATAGCAGGAATTCGAACAACGCGATCACGTGCTATGTTTATTTTTCTGGAGACTTTTTCATAGTTTTACAAATTAGTAGATTAACACTTGCGAATGACAGACTGAGTTACTTTTCCTTCCTCATCTAATTAAGTTTAAAATGGAAATCTGATCTCGTTTTGTTTCAATAAATATTAGAACATTTTAGAATTCAATACAGATATAAAGAATGATCAGCGAAGCTTAAATTTAAAGCCTTCATAGTACAGTGCTGGCGGGACTTGTATGTAAGACAGCTATATTAAAACACAGTTTGTTAATTTAAAAATCATTGTTTTTTATGCTTTGCATTTTCAGGCTTATCAATATATCTTTTTCTACACTTTCCGTGAATTCAAAATTAACTACCAATTTATGCGTTAAATGTTGTAAATGGAATCTACATTAATGAACCATCTTAATCAAGCTAACAGCAAAAATATCCATACATTGAAAGCTTACTATAAATTTAGCATAAAACGATAATGAATCCCAAATCTAAATGTTGACCTTTCCAGGGGGTATCATTTTCATTCATTTTATCAGAAAAATGTGTAACAAAAATTTCCAGTTTCTATTTTCGTCGCGTCGTCAAAACGTTAGTGAATCGTTGAATTACCAATGAATATGAATAATACCAAATAAACTTCTAGTGAAGTTAAGTGAATCTATTTTTGTCTAAAGTGTCACTGTATTACGTACACTGTATATTATAACCCTATGGTTAGCATATGTTCAACATTCTCAGTGGAACAGAATTGGGATACAACATAACCATTACGAGAATGCAACCTTGCAAATCCAAGTCTAATCTAGGAAGTGCGATTTCCCGAATGAACAGAATCGTTTCGCAATGAGATAATTGGTGAATTGCAAGTAACTAATGCCCGCTACATACGTAACGATATATCGTAGCGATTTCAGACTGTGCAGTTAAATCGAAATACCCTAGCGTCTCCACACGCCACCGATATCTGCGTCGATCTTCAGTTCTCCGCAGAAGCTCGCGCAAGAAACATGTCATCCATGATGGAAGATGATGACGCACTTGCGTTATTGGGCCTGGTTATGTTTTTAAAGAAAAAAAAGTAGCGGAGTGTGTAGTTCAAAGACAAAAAGTTAAGGTCAGTGTACTCTTGCATGGGACCAACTTCGAAATTGTGAAAAACATCAGCTGTTCCATAGAAAAATTACAATTCAATCAAGCGAAATGCGAAGCGAAATGTATTGGACAGCTGATTTTTTTTTTCACGACTCCAAAGTTGGTCCTATACAAGGAGTTGCTCGTACACATGAGTACATTGACCTTAACTTTTTTCGCGATGATCGAGAGTCACCCTATACAGGGTTATCCAAATTAAGTGTCCACCATTAGTAACTTTGTTATTAGTGAAAATACAAAGTTGTTTGAATTAGCAAACTAGTAGCATTTTTAACGCTGGTAAAAATGAGAAATAAAAAAAAACAATTGAGAGTCGTTATTTTGATTTTTTTCAGTAAAATAACATTTTTTTAAATGGAAACCCCTGTATATTATATTTTTTTCTGTTAAAGCATCAAATTTTAAACAAAAAAGTTCATAAAGACTTTTCCGCTAAAGTCAAAAATAAAGTCAAAATAACGATAAATATTTTTAATTATTTGCAGTATTATAATATTAAGACGGCTATGAAAACAACATGGCGTTCGCGATTTGACAGCATTAAGATAAGCGACAAATTGTTAAACTGGACATACTCGCAACTAGAAGGCTTTGGAAAACAATGATAAAATCAAATAATGTCAAACATTAGTGTAAATACTTGTTTATAAGCTTTATTGTGTCATTAATTTAAAGAAAAATGTTCTCCCATGAAGAAAAGTGTGATATGTTAGAATGCTATTTAGTGTGCAGAAAATCCTCCTTGAGAGCAAGAGAATACTACAGTGAATTATATCCCGCTCGCATTCAACCGTATGAACGATATTTTCTGAGACTTTATCGAAAATTTAGGGGCAACGAAAATGTTTTTGCTAAAACAAGGGCAAAAAAAGAATTCATAATAAGCGAGGCCACGGAAATTGCAGTTATTGGATATTTTGAAGCTTATCGTGAGAATTCAATAGCAGATATTCTCAAGGACTCTAATTTCAGTTATGGTACTGTTCAAAGGATTTTAAAAAAATACAAATTTATTCCGTATAAGTACCGACCAGTTCAAACGCTTTTGGCAGGGGATCCAGAGAGAAGACTTGTTTTTTGCCATTGGTATCTTAGCTTCTGTCGCCAAAATGTAAATAACTTTCGTTACCTTTTATGGACAGATGAATTAAATTTTTCAAATTCTGGAATGTTTAATAGAAAAAACCACCATTATTGGTCAAGAGAAAATCTTTTGTTAGTACATCCAAGAGGCCCACAAGTCCGTTTCAGTTTCAACGTTTGGTGCGGTATAATTGGTTCAAAAATTGTTGGCCCGTTCTTTTATGAGGGAACCCTAACTGGTGAAAGATATGTGGAATTTATGTCAGAAATTCTGACTAATTTCTTAGACGAATTGGATCTTATAAGTAGACATCATCTGCATTTTCAGCAAGATGGCGCACCTGCCCACAACTCCAGAGGTACTTATCATTTTCTAAGTACTACTTTTAATGATCAGTGGATAGGAACAAATGGCCCAATACAGTGGCCTCCCAGATCACCAGATCTAAACCCACTTGATTACTTCTTGTGGGGTTACTTAAAGAACCAAATTTACAAGCGAAGGTACGATAACCTTGACGCGTTAAAGACTGCAGTTAGGGAAAAGATAACCCAGATAGATGGTAGGACCATACTTAAGACAGTTCGAGCAGTTGAAAAACGTGCCCAAAAATGTATTGAAGAACAAGGTGGTGTTTTCGAGCATCTTCTTTAAAAAAAATTGTTATTGTATTTTGTAAGATTATAAGTTGATGTTGAAAATAAAGTTTGTCGATACAATTTAATTGTTTCAGATTGGAGGCCATAACTTCAACAATTTGTAACCTAGGAGAAAAGTTATTGTAAGCTTTTTTGTTTAAAATTTGATGCTTTAACAGAAAAAAATATAATATACAGGGGTTTCCATTTAAAAAAATGTTATTTTACTGAAAAAAATCAAAATAACGACTCTCAATTGTTTTTTTTTATTTCTCATTTTTACCAGCGTTAAAAATGCTACTAGTTTGCTTATTCAAACAACTTGTATTTTCACTAATAACAAAGTTACTAATGGTGGACATTTAATTTGGATAACCCTGTATAACCCAATAATGACGCGCTAAGCTTTGATTATTTCTTGATTGCGTATTTGGATAAATAGAGTTGCTATGGAAAACGTACTACCTTAATATCAAAAATGCATAAATGTATTTAGCATGTAATAATCACACAATACCTATTGGAATATATAACAATAAATAATAAATAATTTCTGAGAAATAAAGCCTACCTCATTTTCGTCCTCATCCATGTTCGATATCGATGGTCTCGGTACTTCTTGATCGTATAAAAAACTTAGCAACTCGAAGTACCAAGTGAGGAGTATAAATCTCGTCAGTTCCTGCTCCGGATTTATGCGATTTTTTTATTTTGTTAAGCTCTTTTTTATATGCAGTTCTAGGATTATTAATCTTCTTAACCACTATGTCCCTGTTCGCATTTGGATCAATGTTTTTGTATTTTTCGACCAGCCTGTGGTAGGCGGCATTTTTTTTGTTGCGATCATGGTGCTCCTTAGATTTTGTCTGCCAAAGACGATAAAACTGTGCAAACGCGATCGACAACGATTTATCTTATAGAAATTGTAACTGCCGCCATGAACGATAAATCTGCAATGATTTTTCATACACACGATCGATAAATCTGCGCAAATCGGTTTGCACAGATGAATCGCTACGATATATCGTTACGTATGTAGCGGGCATAATGAACAGGCACGACACATATAAAGCTGGCGCCGTTGAACAAGTGGCAACATCGCAGGCAGCCTTCTGAGAAAAGCCGCGCGGCTCTCCAATGCACTCGGAGGTGTCAAGTGACTCAATTTTTCGATGACTAACTTCGTTCGAGCTGCAAAGTTGCAAGCCTTCCGAGTGTGAAAACGCTAATGTTGCATACTAGGGTGTCTGTCTGTCGGCGAAACATTATCTTCGTAACTTTAGAGGAATAAGAGCGAAAAGATAAAATATATGGTAAACGTGCTTTTTAGCACGGACTCGTATGGCACTAGGTGTGAAAAAATAGGGTCTAATATACTCAATACTTCTCAGAGGCATATTCGTATAAATTAATGTAACTCCAAATTACGCAACTAAAAACTACACCAAAATAGTTCATACGTAGAAAATTGAGATTTTTATCTGCATTTACTTGAAATCAACACTTCGAAACCGCACGTTTTGTTTTGATTGTCCTAAAATGAAAAAAAGTCTAAAAACCATTTTTTAATATTGCCCCTCCACAAAACCCTTGATTATGCTCAGATCAAAACAGGCACTTTGACTAATGAAAATGAGTAAAATGGTTTTTGTGTGAAAATATACAGGGTGT